GTGTGGCAGAGGAAGAAGATTTTTTTCTGCTGCGCGTTCATTCGTTTTATAACAGCAGCCGCAGTAACATTTTTCTTTTCTTTCTTTTTTATAAAATAATTAGGTAGGAGTGGTAGCCCCTACGTAATTGTTGTTTTATGAACCTGCCGTAAACGAAAAGTTGTTTGCCGTTTTTTCAAAAATGCATCTGATGCGGCAACAACAAAGATTTTCAAAAAAGCGCGCGTGCAACTTTCCAAGCCGTCACCTCGCTGGAATTATTAATCAGCACGTTACAAAGCTAGACGTACGTTACAACGGACTTCCTCCCTCCTCCCCTCTCTCTTTTTTATTTGACATGGGTTCCGAGTTTTGCAATTTTCGCTCTGCTCGCGCGCAATTTCGCGCCCGCGAGGCGTGAATTGTCCAGCGCGCGTCGGCGACGGAATTACATCGATAAAAAATGCAATGAAAGGGTCGCGACGACAAAAGCTGCGATATATGCAGCCAGCGGTGCTCTCAATACGAGGAAGAGAATGGACACGAGGAGTATTAAAATTTTTTACGAGCCAAGGACTCTGATTAACTTCACTCTCTCCCTTTTTCTTCCGCTATTTTCCACTTCTATATCTTTCGCACGTTTTTTGCTCTCTCCCTTTTGTGTTTAGCTCTCGTGCCGATACCACGCACGCACAGCAACAACAATTGTACGGGTTACGTCGGTTCGAGTTTTATGGTCAATATTACAGCCACGTTTCGCCGCGAGATGCTTTTGCGAGATTGAATGGCCCGCCTGCCTTGTGGAATTTACATGCGGATAAAAAAACTGCGGTGTAACAACTTTTTTCCAAGCTGTATTTGTCTATCGCCTTTTTGTCACGGCGGCAACTGATTTTTTTTCGCCGATGTACTAAAGCTGATAGCCAGTTTCACGATTATTTAAGAAGTAGTGTTGAAGAAAGGCCAAAATTTCAGTTTTTGAGGTGTCGCCGTAAATCACTTTTTATTGTCGATAAGTTTTATCAGTGTCAGTCGCAAACGTAACGGCGATAAATAAGTCTAATCTCGCGACTGTTAGGATTCGTTGCAGCGTGAAAATCGAGCGAAACGACTCGAAGTAAAAAATTGTGTTTACCTAGTCTAAGCCCAAGCGGCATAGCGCTCGACAAAAGATTTACAATGTTGTTTTCGACCGAGCAATTCTTTTTTTCGTGCCTCTCGATCGTCCGTCATTCGAGCTCTCCGACAAAAGTCACAAGTTTTGATCCGCCGTGGGAACGAGTGGCGCGGATGCGACGAGAGAACGATGATAGGCGAAGCTCGATAAAAATGCGCGAGCTTAGATAAGCAACGATCTGAATATGTGTACTGAAAATGCAGCTGTAGACCTGTTAGACTCTTCGAAAAAGCCAAAGCCGTAATTTACGTGGCCATCAGACGAAATCGATAGTCGATTTGCATTAACAGTGTAAGCTCTAAAAAAGAAGGCTATCGGCCAGTCGGCAGGTAATTCCATCAATGATAATGTATCAAGCCGTGCGTTCGCACGCAGCACGTCCGCTTAATAAACGGCATCTGTCACACGGAGCATTGCATTTGGTATTTTATGCGCCACCGTGTCGGCCAAAGCCAGTGAGCGAGCGAGAGAGTATGCAGTAGCTTTATGCCTCGGTTTATGCTTCGCACCGTACGTGCTCACCGTGCGCGCACGCCAGGCCGCTCGTAATTGTGCTTTCTCTTGCCGCCGCCGCTAATCGCCGAAAGAATCCTACCGGCTGTTTGGTTATCACGGCTGTCCGCACTTGCGCCGCCTGCATTAAAAATTTTACGCTGATGCGAGCCTCTTTTCTTTCCTCTTCGTTGCGCCAGATTTTTGCAGCTGAGCTGTGATATATTTTTACGAGTCCTTTGTCAATGAACGTCTCTTCCACTGAATGCTTATCGAGCCCGAGCGTTATTTATAAATGAAAATTGTACTAGTGCTGCCGTTGCTGGCCGAACAAAATTTTAAAAACACTTGTGTCAAATCGATCTCCGTAATATAAGAGACATCTCCGCCAGAGAATGACATGAAAAGGGAATGAGAATTGTATTGTCGGTTGCAAAGTATGCAAATGCGGATGACTTCTCGCAGTGCATTAAGCTTGCTTAACGATTTGTTGAGACCATTCAAACGGATAGAATCTAAAAACTTTTCTAATTCAATTTGCTTCCGTGGGCGAATCTAAGCCCCTCGGGGATAAGCGGGATTACACGAGTTTTCGCGACTTTTAGCTATACGGGCGAGATATACATAGCGCGGTGTTCGTCGGTTTCGTCTTGAGAAATATGTAAGATGTTTGCACGAGGTCTTTGCAGGAGGGACTTAAGGAAGGACGGGGGGTGGATGAGGGGGGGCCCCTGCTTTGTGTATTCCAAAGAGCAACTTTCTCGAGCAGAAGCGATGGCGTGCATTCACTTAAGATGATCAATTCCATGCGATGCAGCAGTGAACTGCGCCAAGCTATTAAGCCGAGTGATCTTATAGACAATCCAAGAAAGTGAGCTCAGAGAAAAAGGTAAGTTGACGCGTTGAATGGGAATTTATGGATCTTCTTTGGCATTACTTTAAAAGTTTTTATTCTCACTGCAATCCTGGGCGAAGCTTACATTATTATCAAAATTTTTTCATTGTGAAATCATCCAATAGAATCGTAAATGTCTTTTTTATGTATTGCACACATAAACAACTATCGAGTGCCGAGTGCATTCGTTACGCAGCGAACGTTAGAAGCCATAGTTAGAAAATCCGTCAAATGCCGTGACGGAAAAGGGTTCCTAAACGATGTAGTTTTGCTCGTTCGTTTTCTGTCTAGCGCGTCACTGTGCAATTGCAGCAGCAGCTCTTTCCTTCATTTCATCTCAGAGCAAACGCAATTGAGATGGATAGATCGCGGCTTCGGGTATACGCAGTCACTTTACCAATCGCAACCATCGCGAAATTTACGAGCGCCTTGCACGCCTGCGTATATATACTCCATTGTCTCTGCGTTCATTGCAACGCGAAGGCTTACTTCAACCGTTTCCATCAACATTCCTCATGTTCGACGCAGTACATTTTCATTGATGCGATTTTTCTCGCTCTTTTTTTCACGCACCTTCATTGATCGAGCGATTATACTCGCAGGAAATTGATGGAATATCGAGGTGGAATGTATTTATTTTTGTTTAAATTATAAACATGATCCGAGAATATCAACGAATAAATCATCTCAACGTCAAGTTGCATTCAAGCGATATGCCAATGTGTTACGGACTTTAATAAGCTCATAAATTATGCAAACAAGAAATAAATAAAAAAGCGAGGCAGTTTCGCTCACTGAAAGATTCTTTTCGACCCTCATTTAGCATTTCAATTTACTCGAAGAAATAATTCACGCGTGACTTCATCCCTCAGGAGTCAACCGGTAGTCAAGACAAAGATAATTAATTTTTTTTTCTCTCTCGCGCGCATCCCATGATTTACCGGCGAATGAATAAATTAGCACCTCAAAATACCTGGCAGTTGAGAAAAAAGAAACAGGACGAAACAAACAAGAAGAATGCGAAGTAGCAGAGAGAAACGAAAATATTTTCTATTACGAAGCGGATCGTCCCGAGTGTTGTTGGTGAATTATTAGGCCTGGTCATAAATCGAATTTATCCTCGAGCTGAAAAAATTACCTCTGAGCTTGCAAAACGAGCAGTGTAAGTAGGTACATTATATGCATTGTGACAAAGCGTGTAAGTTACGTGACATGAGCGCACGCGAGACATTACGTACATATACGTTGAGATTTTTTGTTGTGGTATGTACCTACCGAGAAGACGCTGTAAACTCGCGCGAATTACGAGCGAGTTCGCGGTCACCTCGATAAGCTGTATAGTTCACTCGACCTTACCAAGGTACTCATATTTTGCATCATTTTTTTCGGTCTTTCCTCTTGACGAGAGAGGTGTCTTTGTGATGCCGAGAGTGAAAGAAAGCGTTTGCCGGCTTGAGGCTTTTTATGGAGCCAGAAAATTGAGTTGGATTTTTTTTCCTGAGGAGCATTACTGTTACGTTTATTTCGGTACAATACGATATGCAAATGAATGAAATACAAAGTATTGTAATTTCATGTTTTTTTTAAAGAATCTTGTTTGAAGAAAATAATGCAACGTTTAGCCGATTAACTGAATAGCTACGCAATAGGTGTAAATATTATATGAAAAATTTTTTAATCGAAAATTTACTATTTGATATGTCCCTTATATACATCTTAAAAATAACCTGAAAAAGAAACTTGGCTAAATTACGTTGGCCATCAAAAACACATCGTCCTTTCCCCACTTAGCGTCATATCCCCAGGCAAGTACGCATCGCGCGCGATGTCTCGTTACGCGCCTACTCACACCCGCTGATGCTTGAAAAGAGAAAGAAAAAAGAAGAAGAAAAGAAGTGCGGCGTGAACATGGAGATGACGAGAGAGGGCCGGTTTGACAAGCTCTCAAATCGGCCATCGATCACTCGCTCGAGGGTGAAAACTGCCCTTTCCTCTCTTCTCGCGCCTCGCGCGCGATTTCTTTTTCTCTTTTGCGGGGTAATGGACGGGGTTTGCACTTCTTTTTCTTATCTCAAATAGTGAGGGTTGCTTTTTTTTTCTCCTCGTTTTAAATGCGTTGAATATTTCTGACGAGGAAACTATCGAGAGCTTGACGAGCGACTGATGTGTTTTCATGTTTTCTTGACAAATTTATAGCTGATTGTCTACTGTGAGGTTATGATTTTTAACTGCCGAGAGCCAAATATTGAGTTAGATTAGTCTCGTAAAATTGGGAAGAAAAGTAAATTACGAATGAAGTTAACATTGTTATACTATATCATCGTATACTTCATAGTGCCAATTTTCACATAAATATAATCAAATGGAATTCCGTTAGATATGTGTATGAAAAGCTTAAAATTTTGCTAAGATTACTCAAATCACATACATGCACAAAGTGTATTTGTATTATCCTTTTTAATTCGTTACAAATATGAAATCTTCACTGAATATATAATTACCTCTCGATATAAAACTATTGATTGTTCGGAAACAATTAGAGCTTTTCAACTCTTCTTCTGATAGTATGTTGTAAAATTTGAACCAATCAACATCATTATCTTGAAATTTTCCCTGAAAAAAGAATTCATTTTCTTATAAATTATTTATGAAAATACATATAAAACAGATATCCGTTTAATAACCTTTGTCACGCATTTTCTTGCTTGCTTCATAGTTACAAAGGCATTGGGCAAATACTGTGCATATTGATCATTCGCATTTGTACAAAGAGTGATGGCGTACTCATTCATTTTTCGATAATTGCGACATCTTGCGTTTGAGCGATAAAGTTGTGATACAAACTAAACGTATATGTGATTCAGTGATGTTCATATTTGATCCGCTTTGTATTCAAATTCATATATTACGAAATATGCCAAGGATGTGTGTGTAACTTACCTCTGTGTCTCTTGGAAAATCTTTGAGTATATCAAAGTTCAAACTCAAAGAATTGTACGTCTCATTTCCTTGAATGACGTCCATTCTCAATGTCTTTTCATCGAAATATTCAGGATTCACTATTACAGGTTTAGCATATACAATTTTCACCTGAAACCAACAATATCAGTATTTAAAAAATATATTTTTATGAATAATATGAAAATAGTGTACAAGTCATTTCCTAAATATGTTATTTTTAATTTTATCGCATTTTTTTATTCGATCAGAATGTATATAGTTCGGTCAGTAAAATATAGTAATTACCATGTTCCTATTATCAGCAAGTACTCGTGGTGAATAAGTTACAGCAATGACGCCAAGAATAACTAAGAATTTCATTTTTTTATCTGAAATTTCAGATAAGTACAGTATAAAATCCTTGCAATAAAAAAAACTCTACTAGAACGAAATTTCACTATCCAAATCTAGTCATCGTGGCAAATATTTGAGATTAATCAGGATTGACTCATCAAAGTCAGTCTAAGAGTTTTAAATGAACAAATGTACTGCAATACCAGTGCAATCTCGTTTGAATAAGACGTCTGGTGAACTAGTAACATAAATGCGTTACAGTTCGAATAATGTCACAACACTAGCTTGCTTCGACTTTGGTCAACGACTGGCCTCAAAAGAGCACCAGGAAAATATGACGGCAAAAATGTATGCATAACGATTCAGATTCGATACGCTTGTGCATGGCAATAATACTGGCTAACAGGCATCTAAACTGTCGTAATGTTGCCCCTCCCTTTGTCTCTCACTCGCATCCTATCACAGTTCTCTCTTGTTTAGTTGATTTATCTGTCGTTAATCGATTTACGAATTCTGTTATAACTGCAGAATTAAATGATATGCAATAGATATGAAGTACGTAGGAAACGAGAGCAACGATCGTGCATAGCAATCGTAACTCGCAAAATGTTGCAATTACAGAAATGCCAGTCAGATAACCATGATCATCGCAAAACATACCTCTTGATGAAATAATGCTATACTGCATTTGCAAGCATTATTACGCATTGGAGAGAATTACCATAGAGCGAGATTTATATAATGTTTATTTGCATATGTATCGGTAGCACTTATGATTGATAACTTTCCGAACTTTTCATTATGTATTCTTTAATAGCGAAATAATAGAATCAATCAACGTGAACGGAACAAATTAAAACAAGTGAAAGCATAAAATAAGCAACGTTTTTACTTGACTTAATGACAACAAACTGGAATAGTAGTCATTTTCCATGGAAAGATCATTTATCCAAGACGCGTGTTGCGTAACGCTGGAGCTAGACCGCACACACAGGCATACAGACTCAAACGGAATCTGTCGCCATTGAGATAGCGATTAATTATATGGCCATACGCTCTCGCGCCGCCCATCACCGCAAAACTTCGCGCAGTAGCCGCCGCTGCCACATGGTAGCCCTTGAAGGGCTCTTGGAACCGCAAATTAGCCGCGCGTAATTCGCTTTTGCTCTGTGCCGCTCTTCTCTTCGGCCGTCAGTGAAAGAGAATTGAGAAAAACGAACGTTGCGCACTACGCGTATGCTTGATCGAAACAAGTATGTTGCCACGCTGCGAACCAAGAGGCGTTGACATTATTTATTTATTTAGCGCCGCATTCAATTACGTTGGGCCGTGGCCGCGCGACCGCAAAGACGATTGCGCGCCAAGCCCAAGCTATTTGCATGCTAATGTTTGTCAGCGCTCGCTCGCGTGCAGCAGTAGTGTTCATGTGCGCCCTCAATCTTGGCTCCTGCGGTACGCGCGGAAGCGACAGCGGCGGCGTCAGAAATGCAAGAGGGTGTGCAGATTGCCATTGCGAAAGCATTTTTTCTTCTCATTCGATTTCGTGGGAGAAAAAGCAAAATCTAAAAGGTTCGCGGTTATTTCAGATCGAGAAAAACCAACGAAACAAGCTTGACTTTCTCTTTGAGCATCTTGCAGCATTTTCAAAGTAACATTTTTTTCGTCGCTCGTTTCTTTGCAAATTCCGGTGGAATTTCAATAACACTCAGCCGAATCGCTCCCCCTCTCACCCTCCCCTCTGGTGTCATGATGGAAAAAAGAGTTTCTGCCACTTTGAAAATAAGAAGCGTGAAGCTGTTAGCTCTTGCGCGCGACTTGTGGAAATCGAAAAGAGGAGGACTATTGCGCGAGAAGAGAAAAAAAGCTTCCCTTTTCTTTGCTCGCGTAGAAAGTGCATAGCCAAGCGAAAAAAGGCGAAGCCTTGCATAACAGTAACGCGTCAGAGTCTCTCTCTCTCGCGCTTTCGTTAAAAAGAGCTCGGATCCTCAGTAGATATTTTTCGGTGGGGGCGGATGTATCTTGACTCGAGTCTCTTCTTTGAAGATGCGCCGAATTTCAATCCCGAGGGTTGGGAGCTGGCTGCTGCCCCATTATATCGTAGCCGTGGGGCGCAAACGGAAAAGAGTCGATTGTTGACCGAAAAGTCGCCAATTTAAAAGTGCCCCCGGCGCGACTCGCGCTAAATTGAAAGAGAAAGAGAGAGAGAAAAAAAGAAGAGAGTTTGGTCGATGTTTACAGCTAGATTATTGTCGCTGGCACGTCTTCGTTGCCTCGGGCTCAACACTGTCCGAAGCTACTGCTTCGGAGCTGTAACCTTATCAATTTTATTCGAAGACAGATGCCTTTGGGCTACTCTTTTATGGAAGGGAATAATACTTGTGTTGGACGGTGCACATTACTTCACTCGACCGACACGCGTGTAAGACCAGCTTGTTGATCCTTGCACGTCGGCTAATCACGCTTCGATGACTAAATGGATTTAGATTGTTGACCCGATGTCTTTAATTGAGTTTAACTTGCTCAAATATTTGCCCTGGCAACAAACTTCTACTACCTCTATATGCTCAGGTTTTTTCTTTCTTCAAAATTCGATAATCCTTATCATGCGTGATCTTTAAGTAGAACAAGTCGATTCGGTCAGACATCAAATGTTACTTGTTGGATTTTTCTTAGTTATAACTTTATTCAAGTTGAATTAACAAGAATATAATCAGAAAATTAAATCGAAAAAAATTTTTACTACTAAATTAGTCATGAGGCGTGCAGAATTTCCATCTATTCGTATAATTCGTAGATTGTCAAATACCAAATCAATTATAACTTTTATACCGGAAAATCTGACTTTTTATTACATTAAAAAGTTTATTGCGATTTTTTACTTGCTGAATAGATTTCGAAAATAATTAAAAGTTTTTGCTACCAACTTTCCAATAACAAATCAATTTTAATTAATAAAGTTTCGCAAAATGTACATTTTTCTAGTTCATGAACGTTGAATATTTTCTACAAATTATTCGTAATCATCTTTTGATTTTGAACTAATGCGACTGTACAATCGCTAAAGCATTTTTCATTTGGCAATTAATCCTGAACGCTTAGCTCCCCGCATTTTTATCCCCTTCATTGGTCAATTCGTGTTGCTGGGGTGGCAATCCTTCACGTAAAGCGCATTATCAAGCCACACGGCCGATAAGCGAGCGGATGTCTGCATAATCAGTCTCTCCGTCTGTGGAAAGCCCGAAAAAAATATATATCCTGGACAAAAAACAGTTTCGTACGTGCGGAGGCACGTCAAATTCGGGATTTTAAATTTCCCTCGGGGTGGAAAGAATTGGTTGTGCCGCGGACTAACACAGTATACAGATGCGATGGGATAAGATGAGATAAAGGGGGTTGGGACAGGCAGTCGACTCGGCTAAAAATGAAAGCTTGAAAAAGTAGGATGCCAAATAAGTAGGTGTACAGAGGTGCACTGCCAAATAAAGTTGTTTGATTAGGGGAATTGCTTGCTATTGACGAACAAACGAAACTAATCGACAAAGCTGTTCTGGCCAATACAATTATTTAGCAATCGATTCATCGATTTGCTGGTTTGAAATAAAAGCACTTACGGATTTCAACGTTGTTTCGAAAAAAATAATTTATCCGCACATTATCCGTACATGTACAATACGCCATAATCGATCATCTACAGTACATGTGGTCTGTGAATAAAATATTCAGATCAATATTTCTCCAAAGACCCATATTTTTTCTCTCTTCCCCTCGACGTCGAATCAGTAAAACCAATAACGCACTTCATACGTCTCTATATAAGACAGGTATCGCTCGATAAGATAAGCTATCGGTCGTTTAAGGGACTAACCAAAAAAACGTTTACGAAATACTCCAGGGGATGATAGTCTTGTTATGCTTTTAAACATCCGTGAATTTGGACAGCGGTCACTTCTCTCTTTCTGTCTCTCTTTGCCCGTATCTCCGTCACCCTATAAAATACGTCCGAGCCATTAATCCCGAATAGAAGGAAAAATATTCAGCTCTTTCCATCGTTGGACCTTAATATGAATACAAAAGCAATTCCGTGAGCGCTTGGCTATTATTTATCGCTCACGACAAAGTGGACGACGCGTACGCACCAGCGATGACGAACACCGCAAAGGGATTGAATTTTTTCTTTTACTTGGTTTTTTTCTGTCGTTATTGTGTGTTGGTCGGTAGCTGGAAAACGTTTGCGAGGTGTGGCTGGGTAAATTTTGTCGTGATGAGTTGGCCCTTTGAAGGGACAATTCGCGTACGTACTGCTCTCGGTTTATTCGATTTTCCTTGGACGCCAGATGTAAATTTCGTTACGCCAGGCTGCTCGCTTTTTCGTGAACGTTGGCTATTTTTCTTTTTTCTGTCGGTGTGTCTTTTTTGTTTTTTTTTATTGTTTTGTTTTCAGCAAATCTGTATGTGCGAATATACAATATAAAATCATGCGTGTTTTTTGTAAGAAGCGTTTTGAAACAAATGAAAGCCAGTATCGCGATATAACATTATTTTACCGTAATTTTTAAATAAAATAATAGAGTACGGCTATTTTTAGGATAAAATTAGAGAAACTGAAATTTTCTCCATTTCCATTTTAATTCTAATTCTTGTATCCTTGCTAAGGATCACCGAAGGCAAAGCGCAAAAAACATTAGCCTTGTAGAAAATTAAACCTTCGTCCCAAACGAAGCTTGGCTCTGTAACAGCCAGAACGAGAAAGTAGAGAAACCCTAGGCCATCGCGGCAAAACTTTTAACTATAATGAAACGAGAAAAAAAAAAGGAAAACGGCTCAGGGAACGAAGTAAGTCTCTATGGTTTTACAACGTTAGCGCTAAAACACATTATCCTGAGAGAAAATCGTCCATAAACAAAAGCGCGCCAAGCGGGTGGTATAACCATCGATGCGCTTGTGCAATTACTCGGCAGAGAGAGAGAGGGAGAGAGAGAGACAGAGAGAGAGAGAGAGAGAGAGAGAGAGAGAGAGAGAGAGAGAGAGAGAGAGAGAGAGAGAGAGAGAGAGAGAGAGAGACTCGAAGATAAACTAATCCCCGTAACCGTTAGGTTTTAGCGCTGATTGCGTCAACGCGAAACCCTTTCGTACACAACACGACGGACGACTTGCGCGCACATCACACTTATCTCTCTCACAGCGGCGCTCGCGCGCTCTGTTAATTTGATTTCGGCTCGTCGACA